GGATGGATGGATGGATGGATGGATGGATGGATGGATGGAAGGATGGGTAGATGAGCTAAACAGAACACACACAGATGAGATAAAAGATAGAAAAATAAAGAGACAACTGGATGTTCACACAGAGAACTTCCAAAAGCATATCTATATACCCTGCTGTTGACAAAGGACTTTTGTTTTACTTTTCAAAAGGGTAACGACGTGTACTCAGATTTCTGTCACTATGCCTAACACCTGAAGTAATTGAGTTATGAAGACAGAAGGTTTATTTGGCTCACAACTTCAGAAGTTCTAGTGCATAGTTGGTTAGCGCCATAGTCCTGATCCTGTGGTAGTCCATCATGGTGGGAGGCCATGGTGAAGGAAAGCCTCTCCCCTCATGGCCAGGAAGTGGAAGTCAGCAAAAGGAAAGGGCTGTGTCCCACAATCCCTTTCAAGACTATCCTCTGCCCTGTGACCTCACTTCCTGTCTCTAGTTCCCACCTCTTAAAGGTTCCACCACCTCCAAACAGTGCTGTGCTGCAAAGCAAATGTAACACATGGGCCATTGGGGATCCAAACGATAGCAAACTTTGTCCTGATTTGTATAAGGCCCCATCTCAAAAAAAAAAAAAAGAACAAACAAAAAACTTCTTGTATTTTTCTACACAGTTTTGTGCCTATTGAAGTGGTTAAGTGATTTTAAACCAAAATTTTTGCTTCCTTTGGCTTTTCAGATTATCTTTTGTGGAATTGCAAATTTGGTTTTCTTTTCTGGCAGAATGCATGGCTAATAATTTGATGTTTATGGAATAAAACGTGGAAGGAGTAGTTAATGTTTATTTTTCTTTTCTTTTTCTCAATTTCTTATAACTTTTTCTTTTTTTTTTTAACCAATTTTGCATGTTTATAGCTGGTAATATAAACAATTGATTTGAAGACAACATTTTGCAGTAAAACAACCATTGCTGAATTCTTACCTTTTTATTGGGTGAAATTCTATATCATTTCTAATGTTTTGTGGGGTTTTTAAAAAATATTTTTAGGGGCCGGGAGATGGCTCAGTGGAATAAGTGCTTCCCTGGCAAGTGCAAGGGTCTGAGTTCAATCCCCAGTTCCACAAAAAAAAAAAAAAAAATTATTGTTTTAAAAAAATGTATGAAAATCTGTGAGAAGCTATGAATAGGAACCCTGGTTGTGGAACGGGTGGACTAAATCTGAGCGGTGCATTTAGAAGCTGACTTCCATCTGGGGCATTTCCTGGAACTAAAGGTTCTCATCCATTTGTGTCTTAGGGAAGTGGCACCTTGGGCTAAACTGTCACAACACAACTGACTTTTGCCACCACCCTGTGCGGCACGGCTTTGATTACTTCTACGGGCTTCCTGTGACCAACCTGCGGGACTGCAAACCCGGGGAAGGCACGGTCTTCAGCATGGCCTACAAGACGATGGTGTTCTTTCCCCTGCAGTTCTTAGGGGTTGCCCTGTTCACACTGGCAGTGCTGCGCTTCCTGAGGCTGATCCGCGTGCCCCTGGGCATCTTCATCGGCCTCTTCCTCCTGGTGGGCCTGATCCTTGCCCTCTTCCTGTGCTTCCTTCATTACTTCCGGCCCTTGAACTGCTTCCTCATGCGAAACTATGAGATCAGCCAGCAGCCCATGTCCTATGAGAACCTCACCCAGAGGTTGACGCTGGAGGCCACTGGCTTCATACGAAGGTGGGTGCCACCTTTTCTACTCACGATGCTGCTGATAAAGGAACCTTGCCTGTTCCCCAGGGGAAGAATGCTGTGATGGTCACTGCACCACCCGTTCCATATTGAGTAAGAGTCTCTCACCAGAGGAGGGAGGCAGGGAGTGGCAGGGACTATACTTAGAGCAGTCATGAAGTTAGGAGGCTCTGCTTCAAGTGGCTGAACCTGTGCCTCACGTCCTGCAGTTCTAAGGCCATCCCATGGAAAACACGAGCTAACCACACGCTCCCTTATCTCTCTGGTCATTCATCTTCAGCACTGCAAACTGGTGAAGAAAGACAGTGGCATTTACTAAGTCCCAGAAGTTGTTCTTGGAGTGTAAATGACATAGATCTTTTCTAGAATATTTTAGGTTAACCTTATAGCCACAAAAATTCTGTGAGTAAACTGAGAGAAGGGAATTATTTTCTTGGGGTCTGCAGTGCAGCCTTTAATCCATAGTGGGTTTTATTTTATTTTATTTTATTTTTGTATTTAGGACAAGGTCACAGGGTCTCAAGATGTAGATTAGACTCGTAGTGATCCTTCTGTTCTCAGCCTCTCAACTGCTGGGATTACAGGTATGCGCCACAACACCCAGTCTCAATCGCTGTCTCAGTGTGCCCCGGGGAAGGGGCTGGCATGGCACACTGGGAATCGAACCTGGCCACTGTGCTCTGCCTAAGCAGGTGCTTTAGTGCAATGAGCTATTTGGCGGGCCCTTTCCTTGATCTTTTTACTTTTTAATTTTTAAATTTATTTTAAAGAGAGTATTGAAAATCACATTCAACGCAGTATTTTGCCAAAAGAACTGAAAACATCATACCATGGTGATATGTGTGCATCCATGTTTATAGAAGCACAGTTTGTCACGGCCAAATCTTGGAAACAACCCAAAGGCTACCCACTGAGGAATGGATAAAAAACGTGGTATTTTTACTCAGCCGTGAAGACAGATACATGTGAGGCTTTTATAGCTAAGTGAATGTAACTAGAGGCTATGTCCATAAGTGGAATAAATCAGACCCACATGTGTAAATATTGTATTATTTCCCTAGTGTAAGAAACTTAATCCGTAAGGTTCAAGGTTGCATTTGTTTAGCAAATGCCATCCTTGTCAAAGGAGATACGGACAAAATTGTGAGGTGTATAGACAGATGCCTATACCATATTATAGAATGCATGGAAGCCGTGTTAGTTTCAAGTTACTGTATTAAAACAACTGGAAAAAGTCAAGATACAGAAGGAAAGGTTGATCTCTGTTCATTGTGTCGGAGGCTTCAGTCTGCAGTTGGTTCAGTCGAGGTCTAGGGGTGTGTGTTGAGCTGGAGCCTCATGGTACGAGGCTGTGTGGAACAGAATTGCTTACCTAATGGCAGACAGGAAGCAGCTCGAGAGGAGAAAGTCGCAGAGGACAGGGATTGAGGGAGAATACACCTCTAAAGCCATGCTCCCCGTGGCCCATTCATCCAGTTAGGACCCCCTTACTAAATCTGTTATGCTTTCAAATCATTAATGTATAAATCCATTCAAAAAGTTAGAGCCCCTTCTAACACATCTGGGAATTTACTATTGTGCTAGCCATTTCCCAAGCCAATCATATTGATAGTCAAGATGAGGCCGTGAATAGATTTAAACAAGTAGGCTATAGGGGCTGTGTACGAACAATTGCTATTCAAATATTTTTTATGGACAAATATTTTTATGTTTTGCTTTTGTAATGCAGAGGAGAGTACTTTAAGGAGAAATGGAGTTGGAGACTGGAGGGATTGTCTCAGCCTGGGCAAGCCCTCAGTCCCATCCCCCACTGCACAAACTAGAAGATGAATAGAAAATTTATCTGAAAACTAGTACTTCGGTCTTTATAGCGACTTTCTGGAAAATTTCAGAGACACTTTCCTACTGTATAAATGATAGAAGACATAGAGCTCTAATTGTGATGAGAATTAAATTGCATGATGTCTAAGTACAAAATCAACGAATGAAAGGGAAGTTATTATGACGGGCTTTTACAAAAGGAGAGAAAAACCCAGAGCAAGAATGTAACATAAGCTTTTGTAATGTACGGCAGTACCGCATGCTTGTGGGCTGGTGAGAGAGGTAGAACAGGATTCACTCTGGAAGTGATGATGTCATTTCCTGGTGTGAATGGTTTTATGTTCCTGCATCTACACCTTGTGTGCATAACGTGTTTTTTGGAAATTAAGACTGAGTGAGAGTTCTGGGACTGATGATGTCACTTCCTGGTGTGGAAGTTTTATATTTTCTCAAGAACATCTTCTTTTATTTCATTTGTATATGTAAAATGGGAAGAAGAAAGAAAAAAAAGAAATGTATAAGAAATTAAGAACACAAAAAGAACAATTGAAAAAAGGACAAAGCAAGTATTATCTGCTCCTTTCCATAGACCAGCAGAAATGCACAGTACAGTTGTACAAACCATCCTACTTACCTATGTAGCTAAATCTCTTGCCCCAACTCCCTCTCCTGTCTTTTTCCATAACTCAGTAACTCTTTCCTTTTGAATAAGTTCATTTCCTTTTTCCCAGTGTCTATTGTACCCTTCAGATTCCATTTTTCTCTTTCAGCTTCTCACACTAAGGAGACAATACGATGTTTGCACATGCAGGTCTGATTTATTTCACTCAAGAGTATGTTCTCTAGTTGCATCATTTACCAACAAAAGACTCAAACTTATCCTGTTTATAGCTAAATAATATTCCATTGTGTAGAAATACCACATCTTTTTTATCCATTCTTCAGTTGATGGGCATCTGGGTTGTTTCTAAGACTTAGCAATGACAAATTACATTGCTATAAACATGAATGCACATATATGGATGGACATATATCACTGTGCTATGAAAAATACCCAGGAGATGAACATCTGGCTTGAATAGGACCTCTAATTCTGTATTTTGAGGAATCTCCACCCTGATTTCCATAGTGGATGTACAAGTCTGCACTCCCACCAACAGCGCAGAAGGGTTCCTTTTTCTCCACAGCCTCTCCAGCATTTGTTGTTGGCTGACTTCTTGATGTTACCCATTCTTTCTGGGGTGAGGGAATTTCAGTGTTGCTCCACTTAGCATTTCTCAGATGACCTAAGATGATGAACGTTTTTTTCATATATTTGCTTAACATTTGTATTTCTTCCTCTGAGAAGTGTATATTCATCTCAGATGCCCATTTTTGTATTGAGTCTTTCAATTTGGAGGGCCTGATTTTTTAAAATTCTTTATAGGTTCTAGATAGAAGGCCTTTATCAGTAGGACAGCTGGCTATAATTTTTCCCAGTTTGTGTGTTTTGTTTTTACTCTGTTGGAGATTTTCTTTGAAGTGCAGAAACTTTTCAAAAACATGAGATTCCAGTTGCTGATACTTTGAAGTATTTCCTGCGCAGTTTCGTTCAAGAACTCCCTATCTACTCCTATGTCTTTAAGATCTCTACCTCCATTTTCCTCCAGAAGATTTAGTGTTTTTGTTTTAATATTTAAATCTTTGATCCATTTTGACTGTAGTTTTGTGTGTGGTGATAGATGTTGGTCTAGTATTAGCCTTCGGCATGTGAAAAGCCAGTTTGTCCAAAACCATTTATTAAAGAGGGTTTCTTTCTTCCAGTGAACATGTTTTGCCCCTTTATCAAAGATAAGGTGGCTGAGTGTGTTTGCAGTTGTGTCTGCATCTTTTAATCTGTTCCATAGATCCTCAGTTCTTTCCCTATGCTAGTACCATACTGATTTTATCACAGTAGCTTTATAGTATTAATTTCAGGTCAGGGATTATGATACCTATTGCCTTTGTTTCCCAAGATTGCTTTTGATATTCTGGACCCCTTCTGGTTTGAAATGAATTTGAGAAAAGTTTTCTCTAGCTTTGTGAGATATACTAATGACATTTTAATCAGGATTGCATTGAATCTTTATGGCAATTTTGGGAGTACGGCCACTTCCATAATGTTGGTTCTTTCTATCCAGGAGCATGGAATATTTTTCCATTTTCTCAAATCCTCTTCAATCTCCTTTCTCAGGGTACCATTATTTTCACTGTATAAATTTTTGAATCATTTGTCAAATTGATTCCTATATATTTCATTTCTTTAGATAGTGAAAGGTGTGTTTTCTCTAATTTCTCTCTCAGTGTGTTCATTGTTTGTGTACAAAAATGCTATTAATTTTGGCGTGTTGACTTTGCATCTTACTACATTCCTGAATTTGGTGATTAAATCTATAGGACTCTTGGAGTTTTTGGTGTCCTCTACGTGCTCATTTCATCAGCAAATAATGATAATTTTACTTCTTCTTTTTAATCTTTATTCCTTTTATTTCTCTCTCTCTTGTCCAATTACTCTGGATAATGGATCCAGAACTATATTGAATGAGAGTGCAGACAGTGGACATCTTTGTCTTGTTCTTGATTTTAAAGTGAAAGCCTTCACCTTTGCCCATTTAATATGATGTTGGTTGTTGGTTTCTCATAGATGGCTTTATTAGGTTGAGATATAGACTACCTATTCCAGTTCACTGCAGGATTTTAATCATGAATGAGTGTTGAACTTTGTCAAATGCTCTTCTGCATCTCTTGAGGTGATCATTTGGTTTTTGTTCTTGGTTCTATTGATGTGGTGCATTGCATTTAGGGATTTGCATATGCTGAACCATTCCTGCCTGGAATGAATTCCACTTGGTCATGATGTATAATCTTCTTGATTATTTGCTGTATTCTGTTTGAGAGTATTTTATCGAGGATTTTGCATCTATATTCATTAGAGAGATTGGTCTGTAGTTCTCTTTTTTAATTGGATTTTTCTCTGATTTTGGAGTCAGAGTAATACTTACCTCCAGGAGTGAGTTTTGGAAAATTGCATCCCCTTCAATTTCAATTGAAGAGTTTGAGAAGTTAGCATTCTCTAAATTTCTTGTGGAATTCTGCTGTGAATCCATGAGGAACTGGGCTTTTCTTTGTTGGTAAGTTGTTTTTTTTTT